CATCACCATTTTCACCCCCTTAAGAGATGATTTCCGGGATAAAAAGTATCCTGTCCTTCTTAGCGTCTCAAACTATCTTCTTACCAAATTTCATCTAAATCGGTACAGTAAATCCAGAGATTACCCCCTACAATCTTTGACATTTTAGTATTTTGTAACATTCTCATATTTTTATTTGTTTAATAAACTTTTATCATACTATTTTATTTAAAGCGGGAAAGTTTGTATGTATGTTTGTTCGTTTCTCCTTCACCCTGAAAAGGCTGGACTGATTTGGATCAAATTTAGTACACAGATGCAACATACATACAACCATAGTGTTTAATTCGCTCGAATGCCGCTTATAGAGGTGCAGGCAAGTAGCAGTCTCAGTTATATACGTAAAGGAATTCTTCAAATCATATCTACCATCGCCTAAACTGAGACAATTTCTCTTTCATAACTAATTAAACTTATCAAATGTGTTCACCAACATTGCCATGCTAACAACAACCATTGCTATTGGGGATCAAAATAAGGAAGCGATAAGGTAACGATAAACGATGACTAGAGAAGCAAAATCACTGTTTTTAGGGGCATAGTAGTGCCCCAGCCAAAACGAGCCAAGTGAAGCGTAAGGGCACTTCCTACGTTTTCTCGAAACGCTTCGTCGTTTTTTTTTAACCCTCATGCCTTCGGTTTGGATTATACTAGATAAACAAAATTCTCGGTCATAATGCCAATAGTAGACTTATTAAACATATAAACTTTCAATTGCATAGATCTTATACTTTAGATTTTATTGATATCTAAAAACCTACGATTTCGTCACTGACTCACTGATGATCATCAAAATTCTTAGCGTACTTTCTGAAGTCCTAGAAAGCTGAAATTTGGTATCTAAGCTAGTATTAGTACATAAACAAAAAAAAATACTAAAACTTGTAAATTTTATCCCTCAACTCCTTAAATTAGGGCATGGAAAGTTGTATGAGACTTTCGCATATTTTGATGCTAGAGGTCTGAAAATGGATATAGGGACTCTTTGTTTATACTAATATTATAAAAGTTTGTCAGATTGTGAGTTTGTGACGTTGTAGGGGGTAATCTCTGGATCTACTGAACCGATTTAGATGAAATTTGGTACGAAGATAGTTTGAGACCCTGGAAAGGACATAGGATATTTTTTATACCGGAAATCATCCCTGAAAGGGATGAAAATAGGGAGGAAAGTTTGTATGGGGAATCAATTTTAAATAATAAAATACATATTTCAGGATTTTTAGTAAATTACCCCCACCTTTTAAATTGGGGGACAGAATTAGCGCGCGCAAAACGCCTAATGTGTACCCGTTGTGATTGATGATGAAGCAAATACAGCGCGAACCACTCCTCGTCCAAGCGGAGTAACTAAAGAAATTCACCCCAAAAAAAGAAAGAAATATTTATTTAAATTAAAAAAAACATTGTAATAAACAACTTACAAAAAGAAGTGAAATGACTATTTTCACTAAGGTGCAGTTTGTGAAGATAGGGCTTGTAGAGTTGGGGCGTGTAGAGTTAAAAGCTTGGCTCTACATGAGATCTAATAACTTTTTGACAGTGCGAGCCATATGGTCTCGTCTTGGTAACATTTTACATGAAAATGTTTTTGGTGGGATAAAACATTACGTACTTATAATATGTATATTAGGTTACTGTGATATTTTATTTAAAAGAACCAATTTTTTCACTGACAGCCATGACCATGACGAAATGAGCGCGCGCATCTGCGGGTTCCGCTAGTTTATCTATAATTAGAGGGTTATGACAAGCTAAGACATTATTAAATACTAGCCGCTCGTACCTTCCCTTTGCTCGGGTTCACCTCTAGGAAAACAAAAACAAACCTATCCCACGGGAACCGTACATGTTTCCGGGATAAAAAGTAGCTTATGTGTTATTCCAGACTATAATCTATCTCTGTGCCAAATTTCATCCAGATCCGTTTAGCCGTTCCGTGTAGCCGTTTAGCGTTATCCGTTCTGGCGTGAAAAAGTAACAAACACACACTATTATATCAAAAGTTTTTCGATCAAAAGTTAAATAGAAAAAAATGATTACAGATCGGTCTCTAGTCTCTACTTTATTTACGAACTATTACTTTAAATATAAATTATTCACTGTATCAAGCGAAATTGAGCCAAATAATACTAAAAATACAAATTATTAGGTACTAAAATATTGATTTACATATTAAAAATGTTTTTGAGATTAAATTTTATTACATAATTGCTATTAATTACTTATTTTAAAATACTTCTTTAGTTGTATATATATTATTAAATTAATCATTAATTATCTCTACAAAGTAAAAAATAAATATCAGTGTCAATGATAATATAAAAAAGTACACATTGTAAAATATTCATGATAAGTATTAAATATTAACATTATGCACAATCTATTGATTATAAAATTTATCAATAAACATCTATGTAAATGTTAATAATAATTTGACCCCAAATCCCAATTTTTGCTCTAAGATTATCAACACGTGTTTAATTTTCAGCATGCAAGTATATTTATGATAATTTTTTTTAAGGAAAATATTTAATATTTTTGTGTTTTTGTTGAGCTATATACAAGGCTGAAAATGATTACAAACGCATAAATGTATTTGTAATATCAGATGAATAGTTTTTAACTGGTTTATCTCGTTAATATTTTCTTTATTTTTCACTCTCATTGAATACGAACCTATTTTTGTTTTGTTTTGTTTCTACAACATGCTTAAATGTATGTAATAATATGTGCTTCGACAGTGACAATGCATTTTAGAAATAATGAGGATATAAATTAAATGTAATATGACATTATTAAGTGCCATTACAGCAACATGGTCATAAAATAATTCTTTGTATTTTTAATAATTCATAGCATTTTCCGTTCCGATTGTCACGATTTTTTTGTTTGTAGATATTGAATTAGTTAAAACCATACCTTCATCAAAGCAAATCGTTGATCATCATCGATCCCAACAACAGCATTAGATACGGGAGCCATGTCACTCAAAAATTTAAAAAAAAATCAGCACAAGTCACTATTCACGAACAGACGTGCAGACCGCGCGCGCTCTACTACGCTAATGTTTGACAGTTCTGAATTCTGATTTCTGAGTTCAACCAAAGAGTATAGTTATAAACTGGGAACTTATAAACTGTGAAGTCGACTGCTTGGAAGTTGGAACTTGGAAGTCAACCGGTCTAACTAAATACGCTTGGTGAGAACTGAGAGGTATAAGTTATTATCTCTATATTAAAAACAACAAAATATTATACTAATTTGTAGATTCATTTAATTTACCACAACTTTGTATTAATAATTGTACACCAGTCACCATGTATTATATCCTAATAAACACGATGTTAATGATATACCAGATAGGTAGGGCGCTTGCGTTTAGTTCACGTCGCTTTTAGACATGCGCAAGTTTACGCCAAATTTTTCATTGTAAGTTATTTGGTATACTTATCTGGTCAATAGAATAAACCAATTGTTCAATAGGTGCCTGGGTTTAATACACTTTCTCTTGCCATAAGCTAATGTCATAAACAGGGACCCATTTGGTTACCCTATATAGGATTTAGAACATGGTGTATTCTCAGATCAAATAAAAAACTTTTTTATTTGGTCCGAGGGTTTATTGTAAAGTATTTTAACAAAAACCCATGAAATCATTTCTTTCCTAGGGTTAACCTTTTTTATTAGGGTTACCAATGACCCTATACATGTTTTAAATTTTAATCAATAAAAAATGATACAATATTAGATTTTAAAGTTATTTAGAAAAAATACATATTAGAAGGAAGTAAAGGGAAGCTCCAAACGCGGCCAAAGGCATGTACTAAAATTTTAGACTAAGAGTACCTACTAATTCTGCTACAAAAAAATATATTCTATTTTGAATGTTTTAAGGATTATATTCCATTATCACTCCTTAACACCTCCAGGTAAATTTCTAATAAATCTATTGTTAACTGTAACGCCGGCGTGTTCGCGGTCGTGGAGGGTTTAAAAAGAAGATTTAAGAGTTAACCTCATAGATTGGCTTAAATAAACGATATGGTATCCCTTTCGATAGGGTTAATTCTAAAACAGGGCTATCATTACAAATGATTAACACTTCCTATTTGCTAGAAAGATGAGTTACCCATTAAAGGTATTTTAATGGGTAACAAGATTTTTCTAAAATTATTTTGAATGAGTAACCATTTTATAAGGCTTAACTCTAAACCTGGGTTTAACGGTCTTTGGTCATAAATAAATAATTTTACCGTATTAAAAAGAATTTTTGCTTGTATCGAATTGCAATGTCAAAGAGGGATTTATCTATACTAATATAAAGAGGTAAAGTTTGTGAATTGTGATGTTGTAGAGGGTAAACTCTGGATCTACTGAACCGATTTAGATGAAATTTGGTAAGAAGATAGTTTGAGATACTAGGAAGGACATAGGATACTTTTTATCCTGGAAATCATTCCTTAAGGGGTTGGAAATGGGGATGAAAGTTTGTATTTGGAAGCAAGCTACAGATGAACCCGAGCGAAGTGAGGGTGAGTCACTAGTTTCATATAAATAAAAGGCTGTCTGTTGGTCAGTACATACTTAATAAGGGTGTGATCCATTTGTCCATATTTTTCAAATGTTTGCATGTATAGTTGCCGAGAATAATGAAAGAAAATCTGAAAGTCTATTTTTCCTCTACTATTTTTATATGATTACAAAGATAGCTAACAAAATTAAAATTAGCACCAAAACAATATCTTATAGATAGCAGCCATTAATAATGTGCATATTGTGCATGTATGTTAGTTTACTTAAAATAATAAATAAAATATTTTTTAATTTGAAATGTTATTTATTCAACTTTTACAAAGAACATGGAACCAGGAAATGTTAATTGCTCTTTCCTGTTATTATAAAAAAAAACTAGTTTAAAGTTTAAATTTTAATAATATCTTTATCACAGATAAAATTTAGTTCATCACTGTAAACACAACACCTCCTCTTTCTGGTTCCTCATCTATTACTTCTTTATCACTCTCCTCAAGATCTGACTTTTCACTATCATCACTATCAGCTGTTCTATAATTTCCAAATTTGCTAGTATCCTCGGGAAGTGCAGCCATTTTAATACCTGATCGAGCAAATAATTTTTCTGCAGCATGTTTTGCTTCAACTTCCTTTAAGTGAATATTATATTCCTTTTGAAGATCTAGAGATTCTTGTAAATTTAATGTTTTGACCGGACCATGAACAATGGGTGGAGGAGTGGCTGCCGTTACCTCCCAGTGCTTATTTCTTTTCCTAAGTATTTCTTTTGCGGGATTATGCACATCTGAAATAGTAGTCTTATATGGCTTAAAATTACCAGTCAGTTTTGGTTTCATATTGACTTCAGTTTTTTCAACTAGTTTTTTAACATGGGCAATTTCACCTATGTTCATAAGATCTTCTGGAGTTATTAAAGGTTTTTCTGGCTGTAATACTTTGACTTTTTTCTCTTGCACAGTGCTTTGACTTAATATATGCAAAACATCTTCTGGTTCACTGTCATCATCAGAATCTAAGTAAACATTTTCATTTCTTTTTATTTTGCCATCCCATTCAACATTCGCTATAGACTCTTTGTCAATGCTATGGAGTTTCATATCACTAAATAAACGGCATGTATATTCTTCTTCCTGCTTGGATTTAATTTCACTTTGTACTTTATCATAAAATGCACGAATTTTTTCGCCTTTATCTGCCAGTTTAGTTACGAAAGCTTTATTATTTAGTAGTTTTTTCTGACGATCTCGAAGATCTAATAGTTCTGGTAAAGTTTTTGCTGATAAATTTTCGATTTTACCGTCAATTTCAGTTTTTGGTGGTGGCGGTATTATACCTGGAATTTTCTTATTTATCTTTTTCATGACTTGCATTACAGTCATGTAATAAATAATATAATAAATATGGTTCAGCTTCTCCACTACGAAATTAGTTATAGATACAATTTTTGTAAATTTTCATTTATTTGTGAAATCATATTCTTATTTGTGAAATCGTCAACAAATAGTTCATGTCAAATTAATTCAAATGTCATATAAAGTACGATTTTGACAAATGACAACAAGCCACAGACTAGAAATATTTATCATTAGACTAATTTTAATACCATCGAAAGGAGTTTCTTTTTCTTTCGTATTACTATAATATAATACTAACAGTATTATAACATAGTATTGTATGACCTGTGATAATATGAAATAACATATAACTAAAAAGGAGGCAAATCTATTTTGTTTTACAAAAAAACAATTTCAAAAAAATGTGTCACATATCGTTCAATTCGAGGTTATTTCAATGCTTTTGAGTTTTGACACGGTAATATATGCATTACATTACCGTGCTTTTGACAATACATATCGTACTAAGGTGTTTGCAGGTGATAAGGTTGAAATAAAATAGCTAAAACAATTTTTTGGAACAAATTTTTTCTTAACGCAAGTCGATTTCAACATAAAATCGTCTATTGGGAACAACCTTTTTTTATAATTTGGTGAGCTGATAAGTTATATATAAGATAATTAAATAAAAAAATTATAACTTCTAAACTAAAAAAAACACGGAACATAATATGGGGTATTTTCGGATACATCCAGATGTGAGAAATCTAAAAAAACATTTATGACGTCACCACTTGGACCATCCTGTTTATTACACTTTCTTTCGCCAGTTCTTCTCAGCTCTGAGGCTTTTTTTCGTAATGGTAGTAGACTCGTGAGTCATGACGTTCAGTAAAAAATTGTAATAGTTTCATGCTGAATAAAATATTTATAATTTGAATTCAAACATTATGGAGGTAACCATCGAAGTTAAAGGAAACTTTAAACTAAACTTTTCCAATCTTCAACGAAAATTATTTTGGTCAATATTTTTCGAGATATGAGAGATTTTCCTGGCCTCCCGCCGAAAAATAGTAATAGTTCCTAGTTTAGAATTTAGATACCTATTATGTAGCTCTAACTCTTCTTTGGATTACAAATCAAAGAGAATTTGTCTTTAAATTATAATCATGAACGAATTGTGGCTAATTTGTTCATGACTTTAATGATTAATCTCTGTCAGTGTCAAAGAAAAGAGTTTGACGTTTGCACTTTACATGTTACAACGACAAAACGACGTGATATATTTTATAATTTATTGTTTATATAGAAAACATATTAGCTTGCTTTAGTGTATACTACATAATCTATTGTGTTATAATAATATTTTGGTATTTAAAATTTTGGATAATTCATTTTGGAAGAACTTGAAGCTAATACGAAATTTTGATCGATTACGTTCTATAGATTTTTCTCGATTCAAAGATACAGCTTAGTATTTTTTCATTTTAAAGACCATGGAAGACGGAACGGTAAGTAAACGACATCATCTACGTTTGTCCACAATATAAGAATAATTAGATTGTTTGATGATGATCATATGTATTGATTATAAATTATATTGTAATGTTTTACAGATTCCTTTACACTTGGAACCTGTGCAGCAGAATGAGACTAGTGATAAAAGACTTTGGATTGGAAATCTGGACCTTAGAGTTAATGAGTATGTTATTTTATGTGTTAAATGTTCTAGATATTTTATTGGTCTTATTTTAATAAGAACCTTGTATAAATCAAATTTCGGCGGCCGTTTAGAATTGGGGACTTGGCCCCTAGCGGAGTGGGTGGTATTTCTGGATAAGGGACGTGATAGGGAGTCGAAATGTTAAATAAATTTTTTAATACAACAAAAGAGTAAAAAGTTATTGAGACTTAAAGTTACAACATTTCCATACATTATTTTGACATTACTACCATTTAGACACTTGGGAGTCAAAACGTCACTTTTAATTGTCAAAATGATCTCCAGATGATTGTCTTTATTTGTACTTTGCGTGAAATTCGAATTTTCTAGTTTTCTAGTCATTTATGGCACTCGCCGGCCGCTACCGCGGCACGCTCGCTTCGCTCGCTCGGCTCGTGCGTTGTGGCAACTGTTCTAACCTAACCTAACCAAGATATGACGAATAATTAATAAATAATCTTAAATGTTCTAACCTAACCTAACCCAGATATGAGGAATAATAAATAAATAATCTTAAATGTTCTAACCTTTTTTTTTTTTTTTTTTTTTTTTTTTTTTTTTTTTTTTTTTTTTTATAGTTGGGAAATCCTATTACGGATACCACCCCACTTCCCCCCAGGGTGGTTATGTGGAGACTCTCCGGCTAATGAGACCGGCATACCCACTAAAACCCAACTTTCCCCACAGCCGCCATGTGGGACGCCACGGGACCGCTTTCGCATACAACCGTGACGCCCCGACGGTTGGCCGAAGCCACCAACCATGAGGCCGCCCCAAGCGGGACGACCCCATTATGGGAAGACTTGCAACCCTGCGAAGTGAGGCTGCTCCCAAGTCCACTCTGCTGAACAGAGAAGTACCCGGAGCAGCCCCACACAACCAAACACCACCCACCGAAGTGGGCAACCTGCAAAAACAAAACCTTCCCGCCCTTAAATGTTCTAACCTAACCTAACCCAGATATGAGGAATAATAAATAAATAATCTTAAATGTTCTAACCTAACCTAACCAAGATATGACGAATAATTAATAAATAATCTTAAATGTTCTAACCTAACCTAACCCAGATATGAGGAATAATAAATAAATAATCTTAAATGTTCTAACCTAACCTAACCCAGATATGACGAATAATAAATAAATAATTAAAAATATTCACAGATAAAAAAATGATTTTTTTTACTAAATGTACAATTGTAAAACAATATATTTTACATAAATCAAATAAAAAGTTATAAATGTATTTATAAAGTGAAAATAATATTTTTCTTTTTATTTATTTATTTATTAATATTAATATTTTACCAACAGAAAAAGGAAAAATAATCAAATATAATCTGTTGTCATTTAAGCGGTAATATAAAACAAAGTGTCAGTTTTGCTTTTGTCAAAATTTAAGATCATTTTGTTTGTGTTGTGAAATTATTAAAATATTAAATACAATAAAGCATTAATTGTTGTGAAAATGTGTAATGTACATAAAAAAGGATGCGTACTATTCGTTAAAGGTATGTTTATCTGTTGTAATCACTTATTTAGGTAAAGAAATGTATGGAAATGTGTTAGATATGTTATAACTTTAAGTCTCAATAACTTTTTAGTCGTACGTTTCCTCCAAATATTTTTAATATATTTTGACTCTCTGTCACCTCCCCTATCTAAAAATACCACCCACTCCGAATGGTGGTAAAGAAATATATGAAAATGTATGGAAATGTTGTAACTTTAAGTCTCAATAACTTTTGAATCTTTTGTTGTATTAAAAAATTTATTTAACATTTCGACTCCCTATCACGTCCCTTATCCAGAAATACCACCCACTCCGCTAGGGGCCAAGTCCCCAATTCTGAATTTGTGCCCAAATTTCTATACAAAACATCAGATGATTATTTATAACAAGAGTTTATTTCGCGAAGCCTTTATACTAATGTCTTATATTTGAATATCTAATTAAACTATACCTTTTTTATTACCGGTATCAACTATTGAAAATGGTCCGTGTGTATGGCAATATTGAGAAGTTGGATATGCTTTTCCACCGCAGCGGGCCCAATGCTGGGCAGCCAAGAGGTTTTGCTTTCGTCACATATAAGCTGAAACAAGATGCTATAAATGCTATGAACTCATTAAATGGACAGCTTTTGGGATCAAAGAGGATTTGTGTAAAATTTGCTAAGAGTACTTCTGTAAGTATTTTATGTTTAGCAAAAATAGATTATAGCCTAAAATGAATACAAATAGCTTAATAACTAATCTATGATTTACGAGTCTATTATTAAAAACCTGTAATCTGCCAAAAAATGTATACTTAATTTATTAAATACTAGCATTGCCCGCGGCTCCGCCCGCGTTCAGATGACCAAAAACTAAATTCTTAGGTGTTACATATTAGTATACTCTTACATTGCAGTTTTTGTATTTTTCCTCAGAAATAAGATATTTTCCCGCGGTAAAAAGTATCCTAGGATCGCGCGCTACATCGCCCGGTTTATATAGCTTGAGCAGGCGGTCGAGCGATGCGGGGCAGAGGGGATGGACTCGCCGTAGGCATCTCAATGCTCGCCAAGCATTAAAAATGTTTCGCTACTAATTACTTCTAACAACGATATCTCAAAAACTATTCATCTGATTGATTTAGTGTAAAGAGCAATTTTAATCTGCATTAAATGACTAAGCTAACTAAAATATTCATTTGGATAAGGATTAATACCGAACTAAAGAAAATAACTTTGAAAATAACGTAATGTTTTTAATTAAAAATGTTAACATAAAAGTGGTTATTGTAAGTCAACCGTAAGAGATAGAGATATGCTATCGCGGACTTTTTTGTAGCATTTTTATAGATTTTGAATTCTAGAGAATTCACATTACTTAACTGTATCTTTGCTAGTTTACGCGGCGTTCGCGTGGAAAGTTCCCATTTGGCGAAATTTTTTGCGACCTCTTCAACATTTGTCGCCGTATTTCAGCTAATTTACATAAAAGCATAATAAATTATATACCTAAACCTTCCTCAAGAATTACTCTTTCTATTGTTGAAAACCGTATAAAAATCCGTTCAGTAGTTTTCGAGTTTATCGCGTACAGACAGACAGGAGGACAGACAGGAGGACAGAAAGACGCGGCCGGGGGACTTATTTTTATATTTATTAAATATTGTATCTTTTAATTTGCCTTCTACATTGCCCTCACGGTATGTACATATGTATTTATTTATTAATCCCGAATATAAGGTATTTCCATTAAGAAATTTATACTCACAGTTTGCACAAGTAAAATTCACAAACTTATTGTTGTTGAAAAGTATGTAAGATGGTAGCAAAAATCCTTACAAATATTGTAAATTGCTTTATGCATTATTAATTCTTTATTTCAAGGAGGATCAGGATAAACCAAAACCTGAACTCGGTATAGCAGCATTAAGTGGAGTTAAGCCAGAACTGAAATTAAGCAAGAAAACCGCTATCCAGTCAATAGAGGCTAAATTGAAAATGATGGAGAATATGAAAGCAGGTGATGATTTTGTTATCAACAAGTTGGCAGCTCACGAGACCCCGATCATAGCTCAATATCAAACTAAACAACACATACATAATAAAACAATTAGTTCATTTAAAAGAAGGCATCCATATCACAAAAAGAGATAATTAAATTGTCTTGAACCTCACTCAAATAATATGCTTGTGAATTATCAATATTCCAATAGCTGCTGCTAGAAAAAATGGAGAAGTTTCATGATGTTAATATCATATTTAATGCAATGAAATTAAAATATAGATCAAAGTAATAAATCAGTGATTTTTTTAAATCCATCAATAAATGACTGAGATTTTTTTTTAAATTTTAGTTGTTCAGATTGTGTGATGTCACAAAATTATTCTTTAAGAGCACCTTTAAAGTTACTTCTTCATTTGTTGCGATATTTTAATAATTCTTTTATAGTTTTCTTTGTTTTACTTAAATTTTTATAATTAATACGCAAAAAAATTGGAAACTTCTCCATTCGATGCTATTTCAGTTTTCAGGCTATTTTAACTCTTTCCTTTAGATTTCAGATTTCATAACTTACATCCACACAAGAATATATGAACCCTGTATAAAAGTCATTTATATTTTTAAGTATTTAAAATATTAAGTTCCTTTACTTATTTTTTAAGTAAAAATGTAGTGAAGAGGATAGCTTATTTATTCTTTGATTGAAAAATAATATTGACTTATATTGTTTTTTTATATTCTTGTTGTGTGTGTAATTGTGTATACGGAATTTTATTTGAATACAACAATTTAAAAAAAATCTCTATTTCCAAGGAATATATATATATATATATATATATATATATATATATATATATATATATATATATATATATATAAGAATATAATATTGATACTTAATGGAGGTAGTTTTTAATGTTAATGCATAACGATCGAAGATTTCAAATGCTTCTACATATATGAAATGTGAATTTCAATAATTAGTTTATAAGGTTTATTATTGTCGAAATAAAAATAGTTAGCCGTCACGGGAAGGCAGATGTGAAACATCTATGTTAATATAAGAATTCATAATTAATACCTCCACGACCGCGGACATACCGGCGTGTCAGTTGACAATAGATTCCGTAGAATTTTATTTAATTTCGTAGAAAATTACCTGGAGGTGTTAATAAAAAACTATAACGAGTATAACGAAATAAAGAGATATAATAATTATAACGCAGCTAACAACAAAACACAGAGAAGCAAAAAATTGTATAGTATACGCGGTGGCGTAGAAGGGGCATGATGGCGTGACAGCGTCATGCCGTTTGCCGTCACGCTGTACGAGTCGGTTTTACTAACAAGACGCCCCGTACGCCAATAGATGTTTCACATCAAAAAATTACTTTCAATTAGACATCGGATTGTAAGCAAAAATAATAATATTGATATTTTTGTCCTCTTCGTGGTCCATTGAAGAAATGAATGAATAAATATATCATTCATAGATATTTTTTATGAAAAAGCTTTGTGATATTTCAGTTTTTGTTATGCGATATATTTGTGAATAACATCATTGATAGTAGTATTTTGAAGTTGAGTGCCATCTTAACGTTTACTGTTTGTATAAATCTGGCTTAGAATTTAGAAGCATCAATCAAAAAAGTACTAGATACACAATCCCATGCAAAAGTTCTCTTGAAACTGTCACCCATTGTGTTTGGGTAATAATTATTCTAGTTGAAGTAAATATACAACAATGTAAATTGAATCTTAAATACAGTGCATATAGTTGTTTTCACAAACAAAAAAAAAGTGCACTCAAATGTTCAAATGAGGGCTCATTCAGTGAGGACATTTTTTGTCGCTGATTGTGTATCTAGTACTTTTTGGATCAATGCTTAGCAAGTGAATTAATTTTGTAATTACCTATTTTAATATATTTAGCGGTAAAATACTATCTATTTTCTGATACTTATTTTTTTATTTATAATACAGGGTGTTGTAATCTGATGTCTAAAAAAAGATAATAATGTAGAATTATTGTTAATGAAATTTGAGTATTTCCTATTAAAATGTGTTAATTAATATATAGATTAAGTGAAGCTTTTTGATCTGTAATAGTTTATATTATTTAAATTGATAGTCGGCCTGCAAATAAGTTTTGAAAGGTATCTCTTGAGGCAAGTATTTTTTGTAACTTAATTGGATATTTGAAAGTTAGAGTTAGCACATATCCTTTTTTTTAATATACCCCTTTACCAATTAAAACTTAAGAGAAGAGAGAAACGAATGAAAAAAAATGTATTTTTACATTTTGAAATGAGATTTTATTTACTTGTGAAAACCACTCACTCCTGTCACTTCCGAGATGTTTTTATAATTTAGTACTGGCCAAAAATTTGGTTTGTTTCTGCTATTACTTTTGCATAGTCTGGCAACACTTTTAATTAAGAAATTTTAACTTTTATTTGTGGAAATACTCAAATAATTAAGTGTAAGGCTTGTTCAAGTGAGATTTATTAACAGTATTCAATTAAATTATTATAAATTAATCATAATCTTTATAAATAATAATGCTTAGAATTCTATAAAGCCCTTGGTGTTCATTAGACAAATTGGTGAGAAACCATATTTTGCCCTTTGATTGTCTTAGTTTTAGATGTGGAGGAGTAAATAAAATCATGTTTTTTTAATAAATAAATTTATTTAAGAAATAACTTCTAATAGTATCATTTTCCTTTGCCCTATTCACTGACTGGCATAAAAAAAGCAAAAAAAATTAAAAGTAAAAACCCTTAGTACACTACCAAGTATTTTATGGTTCCACATGTAATTGCACCAGATTACATGTTTTAGATAATAATTATTATTTGCAAATGGTGTAAAAACTTTTTTTTTTATATTACATACTAATATTTTGTACAAAAAAATCATTATAATACCGTTAATGCAACTTGATAGTATATGAAGTTTAAAAATAGTCCATTTTAATGATAAAGTAAATGTAAGCCTTCTGTACTCGGGTTATATTTTCGAAAAGGATACTGAGGCGGATAAATCAAACAAAATATACTATATACATAGTAAATATCACATGTGTTAAATGGAGGACTTTCATATTCCTTGAAAATAACTATAACTAAATTAACAAAATCTATGTAATAATATGTATATTAATAGTTATTATCAAATAGCCGTATATTAAAAAAAAGCTACTATGAGTTATTAGTTTACACATATCTAAACATATCTCAGTGCTTATTTGCCCCGCTGACTAATTTATCAAAAGTTTTTAATACAGAATTGTTGACTTTCAAATATCAATTCTATTGGTATTAAATATATATTTTGTTGTAATAAACAAAATAATCAATTGAGCAAATTTTATCTATATATCAGCAACTCACTTTCGCTTCGCTTTGGTTCGTCCCTAGGTTGATTCCCCATTTTCACCTTCTTAAGAGATGATTTCCGGGGTAAAAACTCATATGCCCTTCCCAGGGTCGCAAACTATCTTCTTACCAAATTTCATCTAAATCGGTCCACTAGTTTCTGAGCTTATTCAGTACAAACAAAAAATCTCTCCTCTTTATAATATTAGTATAGATAAAGCAGTTGTTTTTAAAATACAACAAAAACTCTGCTGTAAAGTACAACAAGTATTAGTTGTTTGAACAAATAATTACTAAAGCGACAATATATCACTGGTGTAATATAACAAAGAGTGAAATAAGTATCAATATCTATATAACATATAATAAAATTGTAACTAAGCCGAATCTGTACATTAATTTTTTTTTGGAAAATCTTATCGAAGTAGACATTATTATCGATGCAGAGACCGAGTTTCTGTGACCGCATCAGGGAAAAGCCAAAGGAGGGATTTTGATGGAACCTGGTATTATGATAGCTGGTTATCCGGGTCAACATATAGGATACTTTTTACTGCAGTTAAATATCTCATCTCTGAAAAATCTATACTAAACTGTAAAACGTAACTAGGGACAGAGCGGAGCGAGGTTGAGAGTTGAGAGAGACGCTTGTTCTTTACTATACATAGCAAGTTTTATGAAAGCGAAAGTTATTTGTGAATAATGTTCATTTTGTATATTTAAGTAATAATTCATTACTATAATGAAACATAACCACATAAATTCATAACTTATATATTCAATACAAGTCATTATAAAAATGGATGTAATATCTCACCTTACACTCTTTCTTTATTAATAATGCTTATATCAAAGTGAATATATGGCAGTACAGCGATACCAGCACTGCTCTTTGACTTTCTGCTCTTTTATGAGAGCAAACTAAGTAGCTATCTCACTCACTTGTAAGACAAATAATCAAACTTTATTAAAGTTTATTTTTCTTACCAAAAAGAGGTAGAATCTAGATCAGCGGTTTTCAATTTTGTTTTTTTTTAAGGATCGCCATTTTGATAATAACTAAACTGATTGTGTTATAGTTAAAATACTTTCTTGTTTGACTTGAAAGAATAAATCGTAACTGAAAAATATTAAGACATATTTACATATATATAATAATATTTAGTGTACCAAAAACATAACCTATTTAATATGATAAATAATTATTTTCACATATTTATTTGTAATAGCACTAAAATTAGACTTCATGTCTGACATCGTTTTATTCAACTCTCGAACGGAACTCGGAACCACTGTGACCCTTCCACGGAACCCCATTTGGGAAACGCTGATCTAGATACTATCTCGATATTAACTGGCTAAAACATACATTCAACGACCATCTCTATGTACATTTTATATTACATTAAGAAAATATACTTTCACTGGTTTTGAATCCCGGTGATATACAATTTGACAAGGAACTGGCTAGTTTCTGCGAAGGGCTCGGTATTAAGTAGTCGTCATCTTCAATCTCCAATTTACGTTTTAGACTAGTGTATTGTGTTTCATCGTCGCCATCTTTGAATACATCCTTGTATTCCATACAGAGAGGCCAAATTATTTTCCCAGATCTGTAAAATAGAGGAGACTTAAAAATTTATTCCTAAAAAATAAAAATAAATCTGCGTAGTAATAATTGGCAATATAAAATATGAATGAAGTAAAAGTGAATTAATTATTACATTGAATATATTATTATCCTTATATTCCATAATTTATCAAGTATTCATTCATATTCTGAGCAATGCAATAATGCTTGCCTGTATTTTAATGTACATATTTTAAAATGTTTCTTTTAAGAAAGAAAAATATATGTATTAATAAACATTATACTTAGAACAGATTACATACGTTTATTTTTATATTGCAACATACATATGCAAGGCTCAACCCAGCGAAGTTATTTAAATCACAGGATAAAAGCGCCTTCTTTAGTCAACTTACGCAACATACATACTCACACGCGCACACACGCGCGCGCCCACAAACACACACACACACACGCACTCATGCACACCCACACACATGTAAACACATTATGTTTGAGGTGCATGATCAATTTAATTATTGAGACGTTTTTATATTTCTTTATTCAATGTATGAGTACTCTGTTATGTATTCTTTATGTTATCGCAATAATTGTGTAAGTAATCTAATTTTGGCTATACTTATTAATAAGTTTGTGCTCAAACTGTATTTTGATTATCTTTGTGATGCTGTAAGATTATCAAATAAATAAAGAAACATGCAAAAAATATGAAATTCATACTTACACAGGTAATGTATAAGGATCATATGGGAACCAGTCATCGAACTTTTGCACACTATTCTGGAGAGTTAATCGGGCATTCTTTTCTATAATTGCTTGACAATACACCACTTGGTGTGATCGAGTCACAGATGAGAACGCTCTACAGACTTGTGGCGGACAGGTTCTTAGTGGATTGAGATTGCATGTAACTAGACGTGGTAGGTTCAACGATTCAACAAAATTTAAACCTGAAATTAAACAAAATTAATTTATTATTAGAATAGGGTTTACATTGATCAAATATTTTGAAACATATTTATTTAATACTTTCTTAGATTTAGAATATTTGACATCTTTATTACTATTAATATTATAGATTAATATTATAAAGAGGCAGTTTCTTTGTGTGTTTGATTGAATTCACTAATGTAAGAAACAGAACAGAAACTACTAATCCAATTTGAAAAATTCTTTTTGCATTAGATATCCCGTTTATTGACGAAGGCTATAGGCTATATTATAACATCATGCTATTACCCAAGGGAACAGAGCAGTAATCATAAATATCAACAATTTGGGCAGACTTCCATACACTATTGTAAAACTATATATATATGTATATTACATAAATGTGAGTTGCTGTATAACATAAAGCCAAAGAGTTCTTTTGTTGGTTGAACGCGGGCGAAGCTGCGGCTTGTACTAGTTTTAATAAAACTATCTTTTTCAACATGTTTCTCCCGTGATCATGATTTTTATAAAGAACTAGCGACTCACCCTCGTTTCGTTTCGGATTCGTTCTTAGACAAAAACAAAATCTATCTCACGGGAATCAGACATTTTTCGGGGATGATATATAGCCTACAGCCTGTCTCAACAAACCAACTATCTAAAGCAAAAATAATTTTTCAAATCGGATAGTAACTGGAATTAGTGCGTTCAACCAAACAAACAAACTCTGCCTCTTTATAATATTAGTATAGATTCGCAACGTCGGTAACAAAAAATCAAAATAAATCCGAAAAGATAGTTTTATTTATATAATATGTATGTATTTGAAAAAAAATATCTATAACAAACAAAATTAAAAACACTCACTCTCTTTACTCATAAACAGGTGATGATTCTTAAACGCAACTAGATAAAATATCGCATGACATATCGCATGGAAGGCACCGTGTACTTTCATATTATCAGCAACCGTAGACTCCTGTGTTGCTGTTATATATGAATGGCACCATTCTGCCATTGTTCTTAAATAGTGTATAACCCTAGAGTTTGGCACTCGTACACATCTTGCCAATAAACCTGCCAAGTGACTGGCAGCAGTCCTCCGAGTTGCCAAAGCACCTGGACCCAGACCGTGTAATCCTGCTGCCACTATCCATAAGTTCGTAAAAACTCGATCCGCACACTGCTGGCTTATTGATATTGTGTATAAGAGGAGGAACTGAACATGTCTGAAAATTTATGTATATGTATTATATATTAAAAATTTATTAATATATTATATATAATAAAATTCTAACCAAGTTGAATCTGTACATTAAATATTTTTTGGAAAATGTTATTGATATAGACATAATTATGGATACAGAGGCCAAATCTATAGTTTTTAGAATTTTTGTCTGTCTGTCTGTGACTGCATCATGGAAAACCATTGGAGGGACTTTGAATCATTCATAACTACAATTATATCACTAAAGACATTAAACATTGCCATTTTCTTACCGAATCCCATGAGTAGGTAATATAACTCTTTCAAACACATTGCACATAATATTCAACACAGGATCCCTTTCATCTTCAAGCCATTTAAGCATTTCTAACATACAGAAGTCAAGTGTCTCGCTTACTTCATCTTTTTCATCAATTTCCATATCAAATATTGTTTCTTGTTTATTCTTATCACGGTCTACTATATTTGTATCCATGTCTACCATTCTGAAAAAAATATATGTATTAAGTTAAATAGTATTGTATTCAGACCTTTTTTTTAACGTCCAACTGCTGGGCATGGGCCTCCCAATACGAGGGGGCTATTGTCCAGTACGCTGACCAAGTGCAGACTTCATATGTCTAATTCGAGAACATAATAGGTTCTCTCAGACATGCAGGTTTCTTCACGATGTTTTCCTTCACCGTAAGGCAAGTGGCAATCATGTTGGAAATAATTCACACATGAAAATATTAGAGGTGCGAGACCCAGGAGTTGAACCCACTTCACTCAATTTCTCAAGCGAGGGTGTTACCACTACTTACCACTGCCTATGAAGTTAAATAGTGAAGAGTTCTAATACATTTTAATACTTTTTACTTTCTTTTATCCTTTATTTACATTCTGTTTTGTGTTCAACTAATTAAATCTTGCAAGTCGATTTGAATTTACTTTTACTTATGAAACTTTTTTAACTAACATAATTCAGCAGTATAATAATTTTATAGCTTATCAGATAAGTACATGAAGCCAGTAGGTGAATATTGGAATTCTAATACATTTGGGCTCATTTGTTTTGACAAGTACTCATATATTGCAGTTTAATAAAGCATATTTTTTTAGTTTTTGTTACTATTGTAGTAGTAACAAGAAGCCTTTGTAAATATCTCATCAATACTAATATCATAAATATAAAAGTAACTCTGTCTATTACCATTTCACACTTAATCTTCTGAACCGATTTAGATGAAATATGGTATGTGGATAGTTTGAGATTGTGGGAAGGATATAGGACAGTTTTCATTCCAGAAATAACTCAGATGAAAAGGGAGGTAGAAGTTTACATGGGAAATCAAATATTTCTCAAGTAAAGGATATAATTTCTTTTACCTATTTTTCTACACCTATATTAATGAAAGTTGTAATTTATACTCACTTATTAACTATAGTTATCATTATTTGTTCTCTAAGAGACGGTATATATTTACTCATCCATATTAAGTTATGAATATAGGCTCTATTTGGAAAGCATCCAGCTTTGTAGTATGGAAATTGTTCGATTACAGTCTGCATTAGAAGGTCACTGGTCCTGGAAACATTTTTTTTAAGATAATAATTTTGGTTTATTTATTCATATCCCTATTTAAAAACTTACTTAAAAAAATATATTTACAAAAACAGAAAAGATGACTGAGCAAAAAGCGAACTAAAAAGATGGAAACAAGTTAACGAAAAAACATAGTACACATGAAGACATACATACACATAGCAAAACTCACACCATTTAAATTACATAAGTATAGACTACTGAATATTGACATTCTAAAACTTACATAGGCATAACGGCTACTATTTGAGCTATCACTGTGTGGATGTTTGACCATTTTGATACAATATCTTCTTTAGGACTATCATCCCAGTTTTCACCATCGGCTGAAATACAAAATAATTTATAAAAATAACATAAATTAAGATACAAAATATTGAAAAATATTAATTTACATCAAGAATTTATTGTTATAAACATATTTCTTGAATTTTTTTAATTTTAAATTTCATAAAAAGGTTGAAATATTAAGTTTCACAATATTGTTTTAACATGATTAATCTTTTTGCGCAATATATTATGCAATACCATGTTTTGTTGATAAACTAATAATAACATAATCTATACAGATCTAAGAAGTTTAGGTTAAAAATCTTACTGATATTATAAATGTGAAAGTTTAGATGAATGTTTGTTACTCAATCACACCAGAATGGCTGAACGAATCTAGATGAAATTTGGCACAGAGATAGATTAGTCTGGAATAGCATATAGGCTACATTTCACCCTAGAAAAATGTACAGTTCCTGTGGGATAGATGTTTTTAGCTAGCTAGAATATAAACAAAGTATACCTTTAAATAATTTAACTAAAGAAGACATTATCCTTGGGCAGTGGTAGGTGTGTGCTGTAACCAGACTTAATATAAATCTACTGTAAGTATCCACTAGATCCTCTTCTTTACTGGCCCACTCTATACAGCATAATATATCTACAAAGGGCTTTAATTCTCTACCTAATAGCACCACACAAGACAAGCAATCCTCAAATAAAATTCTAAAATTATCATCATTCAATGGGACATCTTTCAATACTGTTAGTAACTCATTGTAAGGTCCAGAATTTCCATCTCTCATATAACTAAGAAGAATTTGTTCAACTTGCTTTTTCTTGAAATTGACCTTCATCCGAGCCATGGCTGCTTGGCGATCAAGAGTTTTACGCATCAAAGATGCCACACTTTTATGAGCACTTACAGCCATTATTTTTTCTGTTCTGTTGATAAGGTTTTTTTAAGATCTGATGTTAGAGTTTTTAAAAATGCTACTATTTCAGGCTGCCGAAGTAATTCAGCTTTTTTATGGTTCAAAACTTCTCTTAATACGTTGCTATTATCAACACCAAGAATCGGAGGAGGGTTTTGTTCGTAGCTAGTACTAGGTTTGTTATAGCCAACGCTTGGATCGGAAGCTTCTAAACTTCTTTTGTCTTTTAGATAAGATTGTAACTTTTCTAACACTACTTTACTATCACCTTCTTTCTTCTCGGCACTATAACCTTCTTTGGACATTGCACAACAGATATTTTACATCGTGATTTGTTTTAATGAATTTTATGAAAAGTAATGTAATATTATTCACTTATAATGATTTATAATTTAGCAAATTTCTTTTAAATAGGGATTTCTTATAGTTAAAAAGAGAACACGTGCACTTATATGCGCGCAACTTATTTGACACCGGTTGACGTGACAAATGTTGTCATATGTTTTTGGCATTTACAAATAAGGGTGTAAATAGACGATCGAATTTCGTTTGACGTTAGATCGGTTCGGATAAAAGGAAAATTCAATGCATCGTCACCAGGCAAGATATACACTGAATGGCCAGATTTGTGTACATACGTAAAACTATTGTGGTAACTTTATATTTCATCACGTAGACAATTCGTGACTAGCAGATTGGACTCATGGCAGTGGTAGTCCAGTGGTAACGCGCTCGCTTGGGAAACCGAGTGAAGCGAGTTCTAATCCCGGGTCTCGCACCTCTGATATTTTCATGTGCGAATAATTTCCAAAATGATTACCACTTGTCTTAACGGTGTAGGAAAACATCGTGAGGAAACCTGTATGAAAGAATCTAGCAAGTTTTCAAAAGACATGACGTAAAGTCCACCAAACTGCATTTGACCAGCGTGGTGGACCATAGCCTGATTCCCCTCGTACTGAAGGAAGACCCGTACCCAGTAGTGGGACGTTAAAAAGGGCTGAATACACACAGATTAGACTTAAGCCTAGACCTACATCTAGACTAAATAAAGATAAAGTTACGTTATGGTACTATTTAATGCATTTTTAATGTTTATCAAAGTAAAGGTTCCATAAGCTTACGCTTAGCTGGCTAACACTCATGTTTTTAATGCTTAAAAATGTACAATTATTATTTACAACAGGGTAGTACATATAGAAGTTTTCATTTTTAATAATAAATCAGACTAGATATCTAAAACAAATTGGTAGAAAACCAAACAATTTTGTATTAGTGTTTTAGTATGGTAACACTTTTATTTAGATCTGTGGTCTTTCTCACTGGGTTTCTCATTTTATTTTTCTCAATGAGTTTGGGAGGGGTAAATGCGTGTGTACGTCTTATTCCGGATATAAAGTTATTTTAATATTTTTAGTTAGTTTATAGTGTTTCGTTAAAAATGTGTATATTGTAAATGTTATATACAGTGTTTTTGTATGCTTGTTCGTTATTTGCCTTTTATTTGAGTGTCGATAATCATGCAAAATGGCCAACGATCTGTGGTCATGTACCTGTTGTACCGAGGCTCTAACTTGCTGGCTTCGTCTCAAGCTCTCTCCAGAGGAAATAGAGCAAAGGTACAGAAGCAAGGAAATAGACAGAATACTTGAGAAAGATAAACAAACGCTACGGCGGCAGGTTAAGCTATTGCTACTCGGTGCGGGTGAAAGCGGAAAATCAACATTCCTGAAACAGATGAGGATAATACACAAAGTAAAGTTCGAGCCGGAACTAGTGCGCGAATACCAACATGTGATTTATCAAAACATTGTAAAGGGTATACAGGTGTTAGTGGATGCGAGGGACAAACTCGCTATTCCTTGGGAAAATCCGAGGAATCTTGACATCGGGCAGCAAGCATTGCATTTCAACAGTACGGCTTCGTTAGATAGCCGACTGTTTATGCATTATGCACCGCATATTCATTCCTTGTGGTTAGACAGAGCCATAAAGAGGGCCTACGACAGGCGGAGAGAATTTCAATTGGTGAGTATTGTTTGGCTTTGTTTACATGTTAGGGCTTGTTACTTTTAAAAAATTGTAATCTATTGGTTCATGCAATAGACAAATATATGGATGAATGAGTGGAGGTTAATAGTTCTAATATTTGTTATGTAAACATGTATATAAGTAAAAGGGCTCTTTGTGTTTTCTATTGCTCTACATTGATTAAGTTAATATTTTAATGATTATAAATATTTATTGAATATGGCCCTTAATTGTCTTGAATTTTTATAGTGTTGTTGTAGTAAATTACTTTATAAATTATTGATATCTCTTAAAAATGATTATTCGGTAAATTCTTAGTATATAATCAACATTTTTAATTGACAGATGTATGTAGCATAAATGAAAATGGTGGTTGAAATAACTAAAGAACTTACTTATCAATTATATGGTTTAATAGTAGCCTGGCTCCATCATTACACTACGTGACTACACACATCACAACTAGTTAGATGATATAAAATTATTATATTGTCATCCAATTAAATACAATTGCAATTTGGAGTAGCACAACTTATAATAAAATGACTTCCTATATTTGTTTATATACTGTTCTTATTTATTTTTTGTTACATATAGCTAAAAGTAGTAAAAAGCTTCAAAAAATATGGAAAAACGTTTCTAATTTATAAAATGTAATCTTTATAATCTGTAAGTCATTACAGATGCTACTGGGGTAATAATCATAAAAAAGCTATTACATTAATGTTTTTATTTTTAACAGTTATGCATCACTGCGTGTAAGGAATATAAGTTAATGTTAGAAATGCAACACTTATTTACATACTATAAAAATAGAAGAATAAAAAAAAATAGTTGGGTTACAATCATTGATATATTTTTCAATTAATTTAATTTAAAAAGTAAAAAACCACTTTGTCATTTAAGGCAATTTACCATTATGAGTGTCTTAGCTTGCAGTGGTTTATTTATTTTCTTAATTAGGAGAATTTGCTTTAAAACAAGTTTCTAAGAACAAGTTCAGTTCTACAATGAAAAAGAGAATTTTTTTCCAGAATATATTATATCTTATTTTATTTGACCACATTTCTCAACCATTGTGTTTTTATTTAAATCTAACTTTTACTAAAAAACATTCTGCATTCATAGAAACGAGTACAGACAGAAGTGATGATGATGTTATTATAGTAATTAATTATATATTGTACCAAATTATTTCCAAACATAATTAATAATTATTGAGTTAAACATTTAAAGGATTTATGATAATAATATTTCTTATACATAAGTATATTAAAACATACCCACATGCATTGATATTTTTGTAAAACTAAATTTTTATTTTATAACTAAGCGACTCAACCTCGCTCTGCTTGGGTTCGCTCCTTGTTACATTTTAACTTTTAGTATAGATTTCTCAGAGGTGAGATACTATCCTGCAGTAAAAAGAATGCTATATGTTGACCCGGATAACCAGCTATCATCATACCAAATTCATCAAAATCGCCCTAGTGGTTTTACCATGATGTCGTCACAGACAGACAAAAATTCTAAAAACTATAGATTCAGCCTCTGTATCAATAAAAAATTCTATTTCAAGAAGATTTACCAAAAAATTTTTAATGTACAGATTCGAGTCAGTTACAATTTTATTATATGTATGGATGTTAAATAAAAAAAATGTGTATAAATAATGGTTTAAAAGGTAAAAATCGGTAAGAATTTAATTATGAAATTTTTAGAGCATATAGTGCTACTCCTGAATAGCCCCTCCACAAAGTGTTGCCAGTCATAAAAATAATAGCCACTATAAATCGCTAAAAGTTTTCTTTTTTATTACTACCACTGGATTATGTTTATAGCGTCATCACATATAAATGAAGTAATTGTAATTGCGTTTCTTATCTCGTTTGATTAGTCACACGTTGCGTCATGCGTCACGCTCGCGAGGTTCCGAACACATGAGAGCTATACCTGATGTCTAAAAAATATCATTAGCTTAAAATGTATTCAAAATTATTATTTCCTTATGGCTGTTTTTTTTTATAAGAAAAAATTAATGTCTATGTAAATTGTGCAGTCATTTAATAAATATAGAATACTAGCGAAGGGTTCTCCCTAGATACCTTTTAATGGTTAGTAAGGAATGGTTAGATTATATATTTCATATATTCATAGGTAAGATGGGTCGTTGTAAGTTGTATTATGAGATAATCCTCCGCGGTGAAAAGTTGCCTATGTCACTCTCCAGCCTTCCAATTATATGTTCACAAAAAATCGATGTATCCACGTGAGAGAAGGACAAATAAACATACAAACGAACTTTAACATTTAAAATATTAGTGTGGATGTGCATGTTTTCAAAGATTATTTCCGGTTTAAATTCAATTAAAGGAAATCGGCCCCGCAATCTGACATATGGGTGAATTAGATTTTATAGTGCTATCAGACGATCGGGAGCAAACAGGGTTACGAGTATTCCCTCGCCAACGTTTAATTAAAATTATGTGTCAATATCAATGATTAAAACATGAGCTTTTTCATACCATAGAAGATCATATTATTTCACAAATTGTCCTTAATTGATGATTGAGTGGGCTGTTATTACGTTAATTAGATTTTTTTTCATAATGGCAATTTTGTGCTACGGTATGAAATATTGGGCTTTAATATTTATAAGCGGCAAGTATTTTCAGAAGTATGTTCTACGTAATTATACGCTTGCTTGTTTTTTTAAATAGGTACCCACTAGCCATCGATTCTAGGGTAGCGTGGTTATAAGCTTACCGGTTTCTAAGAAATTCATCAAGAAAAGATTTACGTTAGATTTTAATTCTACGTAATGCCTCAGCCGTGTAAGATATATTTTAATATTAGTGTTAAATGTAGCCAAATTTCACGAAGACTATTTATGTTGTTTATTTTACATTTGCAAAGTATATTTTGACGTTTTAAAATATATTTCTTATCTAAATGGAAATATTTGTTCTGCATTCATTATTAACAACAAAAACAGAATTGTACAATTAAGTGTACGTATATAGTATATAAATAAACTAATCACTGTATACAATAGAGTTTGTAATCAAGTGAAAAATTTTAAAGTACGTGCCAAAAAGCCTCCACTTTGGAAGGCGGTTTGAATAAAACTTGGGAACGTATAATTTTTCCCAATGGGTTATATAGTTATTGTCTTAAACTTAAAACGTATGTATAATATGTCGTTAGACAGTTAGGCTATATCATAATAAAACAGCGTTATTTCTCAGTCAATTGTGTATAATATTATTTGAAATTTTTAAATATTTGATACTGAATACCATTGTGTCATTAGACCCTTGGACATGTGTTTTTAAACGTCTAGTGCTATTTAAACTTAAGCTATCTGAATAAGTTTAAATTATTTTGGCGTCTCATTACGTCGTCTTTTACTCTCAAACACAACGACAATTCAACACAACTGAAGAGAGATCAGGCGCAAGGCAAAAGGCTTTACATACTCACTGACGCACGGGGTGCAACACCTTCATTGTTAAGGCTGTTTCCGAGGGTTTGTTGACAGAAAAAATCCACTCTACCCTTGGTCCTTCCCTGCATTTGACCATTAGACTGAACGGACAGTCAAACGTCACCTCACACACGTGTTCATTGTTCACTTGTGATACTTCCTAGATCTCTGTCCTTATATTATAGGCGTTTTTTTCGTATTTTATGCTGATGAAATAATAATTAGGAGAAACAGTTATCCATTCTTGTACTATAAATGCGAAATTAACTAATTTGTTTGTTATCTTTTGACGACTAAATGCTGAATCGATTTAGATGAAATTTGGTATGGAGATAGTTTGAGACCCTGGGAAGGACGCAGGTTAGTTTTTACCCCGGAATTCATCCCTTAAGCGGGTGAAAAAAGGGATTGTGTTTTTATGGGGAATCAAGCATTTCTTAAGTAAGAGATATATTTTTCTTATTTTGTAAAATACTTACCGACTTTTCTACCTATGCATGTCCATATATATAGTACATTCCATGCTAACCGTCAATACGTACCTAGGGACGAACCCGAGCGAAGCGAGGGTGTGTCACTAGTTCAGAACATAATATAAAGATCAAAAGTTTTTTTTAATACCTACCAGAAAGTCTAGGTCGGTAAAGAGCAGACAAACATTGACTGTATCACCTGCATTTTCCCGCACTCGTAAAAGTCGACGTAAAGAAATATAGTTTATAATATACTAGAATTTAATTTGTTAGTACCGAGTAAGCTATCTTACATTTAGTTTTGAATTTAAACACATTGAACATACCGCGTCTGCATAATTATATATATATATATATATATATATATATATATATATATATATATATATATATATATATTGATAGGCTAGAAAATAAAATAAACTGTAAAAGGGACGATTCAAAAGTGCTTGTAAAAGTCTTATTGGATAAAGTATAATTTGATTTGATACTATTTGGTAGCTTTAGTATTTCTTTATGGTGTCATAAAGACAATCTGAGTTCTGGTCAAAAACGGATTTTGCAAATACTATTTACTTACTGACTGTCGAATCTATTTTAATATTTTAAAGTTGATTATGAAGATGTAATATGATTTTTTTTCTATTTTATTGTCTAGTTATCAATGAAGGTTGTATGGTAACACCTTGTTACGCTTTTCATCTGTACATATATAAATAAGAAATAAGAAAGTATATACGGTACTTAAAGAAAAAAATATTTTCTATTTTTTTGTCTGTATTCTAGTGTTTTGTTGTTTGTTCCGGCTGAACACTGAAACTATTGGACCGATTTTGACTTAACTTTCGCTGGCGGATAGCTGATGTTATGATGAATAAATAAGGCTACGTTTATTTTAGCAAATGAATTAGGATTCCGCGTAAAATATTAAATAAAACCCATGAAATTGTAGACAAAATCCTCGTATCTAGGAACACGAGAGAATCGCGGGTACGTCACACAAATAAACGTGAGCTGAAACACGAGTAACAATTAGC